CAGGGAAATACAGAGAACTCGAGTTGTTCTGTGTAACTCTCAACAAAGTCACCGGCGGCCATGGAGAACGGAACATTTGGAGGGATATCGGCAGGGGATACATCCGGGAAGTGCACAGGGGCGATTTGGTCGTCTCGAGACATGTTATTGCAAAACTGTGTGACCCACGGGTAGATGGTATGTTCGTTGACGGTTTTACAACTGTGGATAAAAGACACGGCACAACACAAAGCAGTAGTATTCGCACAACAACTACATTTAACAGACAAAGACGAAAGAACCGACTGGTCCTGTCGGCCAGTGACAGCCTGCGCGGAAATGGACAGTCTTTTACCGCATAGCAATATTAAGATCATATTGTCAGCAGGGCATCGGAAAAAGTGGTCGCCTGTTCCACAGAATAATTAACTCCGTCTATCAACTGTGGAATCACATGTTTGGAATGGTAGCTCTCTACAAAACAACATTCAGGCCGTAAAGGAAACTACTCACAAGATTGCTGAATACTCTCCGACAGCCCACGACCGGTTTCACCCTTCTTGGGACTCATCAGGTAGGCGCGGTCCCCGAGTTTCCGTCGACCTTATGATCTACTTGAACCCAAATTGCACTGAAACCGGTCATGGGCTGTCAAAGAGTTTTCAGCAACCTTGTGAGTAGTTTCCTTTATGAAAATATACTGCGATATCTCGAATATCGTGCCAACTGAATAATGAGCCGGCCTGTGTGCAGAACATTCAGCTGGAGGACATCATAAACAAGAGACTCAAATGAGTCTCTCGTGAAAACCAAATTGATTTGCAAATGAGTGTATTTCTCGAAAACATTTAGGCCACTTTCTTTCCGCCAAACTGCGTGCTTGAGCGATACGAGACTGAAAGAGAAATTGACGAATGTGTGGGAATGGTTTCCTAGTCTCATTTAGCAGTTATGAGTAAACCGTAACCGTAATACTGAAGAGGCCTGTCTAAACCGAACATCAGTTCGTTCCGGAGCATACACACTAAAATATTGTCTTATTTCATTCTATTCATACAGTCAGTTGTGTAACTGAATAGGCAACCTAATGAGAGTTCTTAGAACATGTAGTTAATTTATTAGAGAATCGTCCGCCTCAGGGTTCTTGGTGTGCATCCATATTCAGCGACCATAAGGTGGGCAGCTCATGACCTGACAACAAAACCCACGCGATCGATAGCTGAAGTGGTATCATTCCGAACACTCTCCTCAGTCATGACAGGCACCACAAACTTTGACCACACATTGACTGACTTGTTGTTCCAGCTGGTTGTTTGAATATTATTGCTCTCGAAATCACGCGTAAAGCAGAAATTTGGGTGAACGGAACTGAGAAACTCAAACAGAAATTCAGCTTTCAAATTTCGATGAGCGGCAATCAATAAGTCGTCCAGCTATCTCACATACTGTATCCACTGATTGACATGATGGGGACTTTTCGACTAAAACTCTCGTCATCAACATCAGTGTTAACACTGGTACCTTACTACCACAAAACCACAGAGTTCATCTACTTATACTCAAAGCTTTAGAATGAAAAGAGTGGGAGGGAGAGGACCTGTTTCAAGAATTCTGAGGTGACTATACCTCCAAGCGGTCAACCGGACAATCTGGGAAGAAACTGACAGCACGAACGCCGCTGACACCGATCAGACGTCATTTCTTGCAACGTCCCCAGATGGGCGCAGAAGGAGTCACGACCCCATCATGGAATGCGCACTGCACCAACAACAAACAAGCTCTATGTAATCTCTTTCACATTTTTCTGCCAAGTCATGGGTTGTCCACCTCGCGGTTTGCGCCATCCTGAAGGAGGTACGGAGAACAACATTCGTCTCGGTGGACGGTGTTTCGGCATACGTGGCATATGGCAGGGCCACCGATGTTGACGTTGCTCGATTAAAATACTGCTGCACGACCAAAACCCGTTTCCTAATTACCTCGTTACGAATTCGCTGACGTCTTCCGATACCAGCGACGCTTCTGAGGCATCGGTGGTCAGAAACCCGAACACACCTCACATCATCTGTCTACAGAGGCCATTTATCGCAACCATACAATAATACAGCCCCTAATATACACGCCCTGGTACACGCCACCTTTGAGAGATATATATCAGATACCGTTCAGCTGTAATACCCTTCCGGTGCCTAGCTGCCATGCCACCCGAAAAAAGAACCACGGCTGAGATACTTCCAGGTTGCCCAAGCCTAGACAGGGAAAGTCGAGAGGCAGAGGTCGGGTTAGAACCACAGACCTTCCGGTGAGTAAATTCGCGGTCTAACCAATCGAGGTATCTCGCCCCACGCTCTTGACGCTACAACCATGAGCTGGGGGAAATTGGCAGTATCTCACGTTTCGTGTTTCCTTCAAATGGCACGTCAGCTGAACAGTTAGTTATTTAGCAAATTACACTCATTTGCATACCAATTTGGTATTGACGGAAGACTCACCTGGAGCCCGGCTAAAACTCTCGTTTACGTTCTTATTCATACTAGTTAGTCAGCCTTTTAGTACCAGTCGGAATTAGCTGTCAAATTCGATGAGTAGCAGTCGTGCTTTCCAGCCTATCGGTTAGACCCGAAAAAAATCAATAAATCCCTTCCTGTGTCTAGCTGCCATGCCACCAGGAAGCATGAGGGCTGGGACACTGCCAGATTGCCCAAACTTAGACAGAGGAAGCCGAGATGCAAAGACCGGGTTCGAATCACGGAACTTCCGGTCAGTAAATTTGCGCTCTAACCACTGAGTCCCGTGAAAAGGGCTAACCACTCTATTTCCAACCCGCTCCCTTAAGATCATTGCCTCCGAAATGAGATGTGGGCGGTGCTTAGATCAAATTGGAACCAGACAACAAGGATGCTCATCATCTATCCGAGGACGGGGTACGAATGGAAATACCCAGTTAGTGTTCGTGAGATGCGCAGTGACCATGATTTCCAATAACATTGAAACGATTGTTGTAAATGGGACACACGACCTAGCTTAATGTTGATCAACACACTGTCCAATGTGTTCATATATTCGGATCAATAATGGACCACAAGTCCTCGTAAGAGTGAATGGCGAAATTTTAGCATCAGTGGGCATAGTTTCGCAAAATCAAAAGGAAGCTACATAGAATTGATGAATTACTTCCCGCAAAAACAACAAAAAAGTCAAAGCAGGCCAACATAAGTTTTGGGTATAAAAAGCAGCTCACTTGTTGAGGATGAAATACGCAGGAATAAGCATGTGCAAGCTCCATTCGTTGCCCTGGCAGGTATAACCTCTGTGTGCGATCTCCCATGCCAGTCGTCCGAGTCCAGCTCCAGGAACGAGAATCCGGACGGTTACGGGATCGCTAGATGGGAGGATGAACAAAAACACTACCGAAATTAGACCTCCTACGAAAACGAGGCGCGGTACACCATAAATTATGTAGAAGCGGTCTACGTGCGATGAACACTCTTACACAGTCCATGGGCGGTGTATATGTGTCGCCTCTAATGCGTAACTATCTACACTACCTCTCCAAATCAATGGCAAACGAAACTGTGGCACCTACAACCACTGTACTGCAAGTACGCGGTTTTTACAGCTGATGATAATTTCCTATATATGTGCGTCGTATGAGAGTAAATGTACACGTTACAAGTCAAAATATGAGGTGGCTGGGAAGGCTAGCATATCAGCGTCCCAGGACGTTTATTTTACCAGCACGACCGCTATAGAATAAGATAATATTAGGCAACCTACATAGAAAAAATCGGAAACCTGGGGTGCGCTGGAACCAAAGATTTCCGGAAGCTAGTGTCGAGCTGACCATGTCTTTGTAGAGAAACGCCACCATCGTCATCCAGTGGCCACCAGTTTGTTCGACATTGACAGAGAAATAAAGGAGCGAGTCGCGCATTGGAGCCAGTTACTTTGAAGTGTGTGTTCACTGGTGGCACACGGGCTAGCGGAGAATGAGAGCAATGACATACATAGCGATTGCCTGCTCGAGCACAAGGAAGTTATACGGTGGAAGACTATGCCAAGCCTCCCAAACCCTATCATCTCAAATTCACTCACCGTCCATGCATTTCGTCTTGAGGTTCCCAAGGCTTGATACCTCGGTAGCAAGTCACTTCCTACCTCTCTGTAGACAGCTCCTACCCCAAGTTTCTGGAAACCAACAGTCCCATAGCACCCGAAACAAGTAGGCTGGTGTATTCTATGTTACGTGACTAGCTCCCCATCGCGTGCGGGTTTCGACGGTCCGAAATCATTCGGCGTATCTCATAGTCGTTTAGTTAGCGTTCCAGTCGCAAGCAATTCTTCATCAATAGACAGGCAGTGAGAGCTCCTTTACAGCATTTACTAGTTATAACCCCCAACTTGTTCTTTTACCAACCTGAGGCCCCCAACGGCAAGGCCGCTCGAATCCTGGATCTAGTTTTAACCTAATCCCCTCTACCCCCATTCTTTAGCCGTAAAAATCATGTACTTGCCGTACAGTGGTTCTAGATGCCAGTCTTGTTCGTCGGGGAGTTGGGCAGGTGGATGCATTGGAGGCGGTAGCTGATTAAATTGATGAGCGAATACAAGGGTGTCAGTAGACTTTCCATTGGGTAGATCTGGAGGGGAAGCTATGCATTGAAAGCAAGGCTTGGGTGCATGCGCACCAGTGACAGTGCGACCAGGCCATGCCTGATAATGTCTGACCACTAACGTGTCCTGTCTCGGAAGACCCATCTGAGGAGAAGGCAATGACCAGCGCAGCTTTGATACTTCACTGCCAAACCATTGTTTGACCTCCCCTGGCTTGTTTTCATCCATTTGCGTGGTTGTGACAGAAAATATCCTCGAGGAAGTCGGTCAACTGGCGTACGAAATGCGTGTGATGAGTTCATCTATCATGGACAAGTTATTTCTTTCGAAAATTATTCAGCGTACTTGGGCATCAATGACCGAACACTGAGAATTTTTCGACATCCTCAGCACGTAGCGACTAGGTTGTCAGGCCTACACCACAGGTGATGCAGGCTCTAGTCTTCCATATCGGGATGAAAAAATCACCCTTGGCAAGACCATTTCACGCTTATCTGATGAAGTCGTAAACTCATTTAACCCTCATCACTTCAGATCACTGTCCTGCCAACCGGCTCCATTGGATTTTGCATCCAAAACTTAGTACATCTCACTGCAGATTCAGGTGTTGCCTCTCCGCTGAGACAGTATGCGTCACCTTTGGTAGTCACCCTGGGGACTCTTTAATAAAAGTACCCAATATTCGCTCTGCTGTTATGTACAAAATCACTCCTTATTTTTCAAACAGGGAGAGCAGTCATCACGTGGATGGATTAAACGCATGCGCCCACCGATGAGGAAGATGAGAACAGAGTATACAGTTTCTTACCTCCGACAGGCGTCTGCTATCGCTAAGAACAAGTTCATCACATAAGAGACAACCGAATTATCGTCAGTGTTGACGGAGTCGATGCTAAAGCAATGTGGTCACTTTTGTAGTTCCTTACTCCCTATCATTGACTCATTCAAACCTGAATTTGTAACCCTTTGCAGCGACTGGGCTTCAGTATTGCAATAATCCTACGGTCGACAGTGGTGGGAACTCATCTCCCTGAAGTTCAACTACATCAAAATAGGCCAATAGAGAGCATTTCGATAAGGAAAAGCGAGTATTCTCAATGCAAAAAATCAAACTACAAAAAGGCCTACTGTAAGCCCAATTAGGCTTCTAATGTACACTGTGTATAGCAGTGACACATGACTTAATGTTGACGGCCTCGGGCCGGGCCATCCCATTGCAGCCAAATGGGTCAGAGCTTGAGACTGTTGTATCGTGGGCGGCTGTCTATTGGCTGAGCCTGTCAGACTACGCGATAGGGGGGAAGACAGAGAACTCGGAACACGGCTGTATCGTCAGGATAAAACATACAGAGCGCCTGCGTAAATATATAGGATGACTAAATGGCCAAATATGGTCGCTCATTTGTTCGTTCTGTACAGCCAATGGCGGTGTTCCGGTCGTGAACAATTTCAATCCCACTGCGCTGGTCGTATGTTACTAAGTCGTGTTTGGTGAGAGCCACGCACCTACTTTCAGGACGCGTCGTACCGATGGTGACCTTGGGGGTGCGTCACTCTGCAAATGTGCTTTTTTCATGTTTGGGCGCGTCCTGACAGAGATAAGTGGTAATAATCGTTAAGCTGTAACAGCCTTTCAGTGCCTGGCTGCCACTCCACCATAAGGAAGTACGAGGTCTGAGGTACTATCAGACTGCCCGGAGCAGTCAGGAAGTAAAGACTGAGGTCCAATTACGGAACTTCCAGCTAACAAGCTAGCTCCCCAGCCAGTGAGCTAGCTCAAGCTAGAGGCAGTTCGGTGGTTATGGCCATGAAGAGACCGGATCTTACTTTGGTGTGTTTGTGCCTCTGTGATCCAGTGAGCTATACTCCGGCCGGAGCCGGGAAGTCCGTGCGACATTCAGTCTCTCATACAAGGCAAGTCAATGGTTAGAGATCTGACTGACGCTCTTCTGGTCCCCAGATTTTGAGGTAGAACAGGCGCGGCGACTCGTTCTCTGAAAATGGTAATGCATCTGCCAAGGTCTAGTGGTCAGGCTTTTGATCCAAAGGCCTTGGTCGGAGACCCCAATGGTACCCCCATCCAGGTTTGGGCGTTCTGGCAGTACATTAGTATACGTACAATCATGATACCTACGACTAACAGTACTCTCATGCCACATCAGCCGTCGAGTGTTGTCATCAGCCGGGTTTCCTTAATTGGTGCATACGGAAGAGAAAACATGCTACTGCTGATGCCTTCTTGCACTTTAGCTTATTCCTTCTTCAGCCCTGGGCCATCTCAAGTTCCGAAATAGGTCTGATGGCTTTGACAAAATCAAGCGCACCCTTAAGGTCGAAGTGAACCGAAATTGTGGGTTGCCTGTACATATGGCGTCGCTCCAACACCTAATGGAGTATGTGGTGGACGCAGCCTCTACCGGGTCGTAATCCTGCTCGATTCTCATGGGTCAATGATGGGTGTGCAGCCGGAAGACGAAGAATCAATGTCGACAGAAGCCCAGTTATAATCGAATCAGCATGGTGCCCCCGTGGCTACTACATCCACTGAGAGCATATATTTTGAAGACAGTCACTGCTACCTACTAGCCCCAGCTGCATGGGTGTGCGCCGGAAGACGAAGAATCAATGTCGACAGAAGCCCAGTTATAATCGAATCAGCATGGTGCCCCCGTGGCTACTACATCCACTGAGAGCATATATTTTGAAGACAGTCACTGCTACCTACTAGCCCCAGCTGCCTGGGACTGCCTGTTACTTTCAGATGAACACAAATGAGTTAAACAAGCACTGGCTGAGGAGTTCACCAGCTTCCTTGAACAGAGCAGGTGGAAGGTCCTTAAGACCTGAAGAACGATTAGGCTTGAGTGGGGATGCATGCTCGGCTACTTATTAGACTACATTCACAGACTACGTTTCTGTCAAGCGGCAACAGTCCACATTGAAAGCAGCGGATTGTCACCTGAATTGTTGGTCAGTCTATTAGCCATTGCTTCCAATTGCTCTCTGGCACTATCCTACGCAGGATGGTCCATCATGTGGAGATTCATATTCGTGGGAATCGAGCTTGATTGTGCCATGGTCGAGATGGAACCCAGCATATTTTCAAATCGAAATGCAGCATTCCTTCCGATGATCAACGGTGGTTGCCTTTCTTGATTCAAAAGCCAATTTGAGTCCATCGAGTATCGGAACCTATAAAACTGTCTGTCTAGCGGAAAATCACTATATCTTATAAAGGTTATATGTACTTCCTACCGTGGATGCGTGCGAGTCCATATCAAACTGTCACCGGAGCTAACATCATTTGTGCCAAACAAGACTGTTCTCTGTTGTCGTCGTCTCCACCCCCACACGTACACCTCTTCAAATTCGTAATATATAGTCTTTACCCGCTCAGTGGTTGAAGCGCTTAAAAATTGACTGACTCAAGAGAGGGGGTATTCCTCACTTTTTCAAAAAACTCTGTAGCCGATTACCTGACATAACCCATTTCATCGGGAGACTTATCCTAAAGCGTTTGAGAACCTCACGCCATAACAGTCCACCAGATAACGACAAACAAAGCCTCGCCAGATAGTCCGGACACTCCAAAGCCAAGAGACTGAACCTTAGGGCTGTGTGACGATTTTGATGTCTCCGTGACCCAGTAGGTTGTGATCGACCCAGGTTGGGGGTTGGGACACGCGTGGCAACTCGTTCTCTGAAAATGGTAATGCGTTTACATTCCCGGCCAAACACCGCTGCCTTGTGGTCAGGCTTTTGAGCCAAAAGCTCTGGTAGGATACACCAACCGTGTTCCTGTCCGGGTCTGGTTGCCCTGGCAATACCACAGCTCACGTAAAACCATGATACCTACAACTAACACTGCTCTCATGTCACATCGGTCGTCTAGCAGTGTCATCAGCCGGGTCTCCTTACTTGTTGCATGGAGTAGCACTGCTTCAATCTCAGAGAAAAGTCCAAGCCGGTTCAGAACACAACTTAACGCGACGAATTGTCAGACGTCAAGTGAAAGTGAGCACGCACACCGACCGTGGAGCCTGATGGACTCGGATGGCTAAGGAAATAGAAGAGGTCCAGGAATCCTGGAATGCTCGAAGACTGCCTCAATTGATCTGTTCGACTGGTCCTCAGAAACTACGTGCGAGCGAAACCATCGAAGATCAAAGTGGCGCGACCATCTTCAGTAAAGAGTGGTGAGTGTGGCAAGCAGAGGAACAACCTTGACCTCAGTCGTAACGAGGATCTTATTGCCACCTGCCTTTTTTGGCCTTATGGTAGCCCGCGAAACACTGATCTGAAAGTAGTGAGCAGGATTCCGGCCTGGTAAATAAAATAATGGTTCAGCTGCAACACCCTTTCGGTGCCTAGCTTTAGCGCCACCGGCAGGGAGCACGAGGGCCGGGATATTGTCAAGTTGCACAAGCTGGTGGGGGTTGCGTTGAACAAGTCCTCACACTGCGTCAGGTGCTAAAATAACGTTATATGCACAAACGACCCATAATTCTAAGTCGACTCGGTTGACCCGCATGTTCTCCTTGATACCCTTAGCCGGCAGGAAATGACTCGGAAGTCTGCGAACATAATGAGTTCTTTATATTTTCGGACTTTCTGGTGCGAGAATACACGGAACGCTAGAGGGGCTTCAGTAGGAAGTGGTATGCGCCATGAGTCCCCATTAACTTCCATTTAATTTCGTGATACACGAGATAACGAGACAAACGCTGAAAGGTCTTCGGAACCCTGGTGTTTAAATAACAGCGGACGGAAGCCTCGTCGATCTTGAATGGGAAAATATCGTCTTCGAAGGGATACGAGCGCTATTCCGCCCTTTGGCATGTGCTATGCATCAAGAATGGTCATGCTTCAGGACATGTAGTCCGTGGATACGTACGATCCACGGAGAGGACCTGGAGGTTGTGGGGTGCTTCACGTAGGTTGAGAGTAGCATTACTTTCGATTGTAATTCGACAGATGGGGGCAAAGAAAGAAGTCCTAAGGCTCGGGTCGCGTCCACTAATTTAAGATACCTATGGCGGCAAAGGGGGATATCCCCCAACCTCAAGCGAAGTGGGTAACGGGATAATGACCAGATGGACCAAAGCATAAACAAGCTTCTGAAAATGAGTTGGAAAAATCCAGTCAAACGTACATTTTAGAAGTATCATAAAGCTCACATATGTCGTGAATGATAGGCTCGTAGCAAATATCTCGCTCGGCTTTTCCCACATTTGACCAGTCCCTAGCAAACTGCTTCAGTGTTGATCGAACTTTGTCCATATCGGAAGTAGTAAATGCGAAAGGACCGATGGGTGTGACTGCATTCGTATTCGCTGATTTTCTTTTAGCATTCGACAGCTGAAGACTTGACTTGTCAAAAGTATCTAGAACATCTGCACTCTGTAAAGTTTGGAGAATATATTGAGGTACTAACATGCTCCCCGTTGAAAATATCCGGGGCGGAGTGCTTTATAATTCGATTGAGAAGTTCGTTGTTGTGTAGGACACTTGCTTTAACCTTTTCCATATATGAACAAAACTCTGATGCAAGTGCTTTCTGGCGATCCGGTATCGATTCATAGTAGGACTTCGTCCTTTCCAGTTTTTTCAGCATATGGACCCTGTTTATATCCAGTGGATAAACACAAAGAGGTTACCCGAAAAAGCGAAAGGACGCAAGCGTCCTGATGAAGTGCTCACGATCTCTCTCAACCTCATCTTCGAAATCCTGATCGCCTGTTGGCATCCGAGCGGAACGAACACAGGGAGCAGGCTAAGGCCATAAGTAGTGTGGCGACCTTGAAAAATCCAGGCCGACCAAGTTCCCAGTTTGCCAGCTTCCTATGAATCCAGTAAGGCATTAACGTCTGCGTGGCTGGTGCTAGTGGAAAGTTCGAAAACTCCGTTGGGACCATGGGCACCGCCGGTGGATTTTGGCGTTGTTGCCTTGAGGCAGGCTGGGTGATTACCTTCAGCACGTACATGAATTGGAGACCGGGCTAATTGACCCAGAACCGAAGGCGTTCAATGCTGCTCTCAGCTCTGGGTTGGGTGTTCGAAAGCGAGAAGTGTGGCGTTTTGTACCTTTCATTTGCTTCCACCATACCAACACGCATTTCGTCAACTGCATAAAAATTCTTTTTTGAACACGAAAAACAATAAAACTAGTTTTTGTGCAATTTACGGACAATACAAAACATGGTCCTGTTCGTCGACTTTCTTTCTGAGTCTCCTCGAGCTTGCGGCGGTCACTCACCAGTTTCCCGTGCTACCTCTGGTGTATAAACATTTCAGACTGTCTTCAGATTTCATTATGTGTGAGAACTGTTCAAAAGAAACCCCCAAACATAACTCGATTAATGTTCATTCGCTGACGCGGCCCAACGATGAGCTCTATTAAAGGGAACAAATCTTGGTGAGTTTGTTCCATTCAGCCATCTTTGTTATTTTTTACTCAATCTAGCGTCATTATTATTTTGGGCCACACACTCCCGGTAAGGTATTTTTGGGTTGCCAGTCCACTATAAGAGTCAGTTGCACCACACAGATGGGGGTTTTCCTTGCGGCGTGGTTGCTGCCTAAAAGGGCTCAGAAGAAAGGAAGAGCACTTCGACGCGCCAATCAGCGGGCAAACACTTGACCAGTATTTGTCAGGCAAAAAGAGGATGAGGTACTTTAGGTCACCAAATAGGGAAACATCCCCAGCGCGCAGTTGGGTGTGTACATTTGTTTACCTGCGAGCTCTCGGCGTCTGCAGGCTATTGGTTATCCTCCAACGCGATTGGTTCGCCGCGTCTTCGACGCACAATGCATTTTTCTGCAAAATCCTTGCGGGTGAAGTAAAAACTGTAACGCCAAAATGTTGTACTTATTTGCATTGTGCTCAGTCCAAAAATCACCCTCGTCTACCGTCAGTCTTTTGCGATTTGTTTTAATTGATCTCTTTTGAAAAATTTTGGCGCACATTCGGCTTTGAACTGTCCCCTGGTGCTTTCATGGCATGCATATTACACTATAGCTTCGGAAGTTCCTTCACAATCGTTCGTTGAGAAATTTGTGGGTGTATCAATTTCATTCTTCACGGCATGTGAGAAGGCCTTAAATCAATAAACGAAGGATGACTTTGGTATTTGTGCGTTCATCCGTTAATCGAAGCACCAACATTGTTTTGCTTTACGAATGGGTGTACTACAAATGCAGCAAGCGACCTCCAAGACCAACGGAAGGCCGAGAATCCGAAGAAGCTAGTAATTCGAGCGTATTTTCTCATACAAAAAAGTATGCGAAGCACCAGCCGTCCAATGCGGTTTTGTCTACGGAAGCAAAAGTAACCAATGGCAGTCACCTCTTATTTTCTTAAACACAACCACAAAATGTCGGTTTCTGTGAGACCGGCTTTTAGTTAATCGACGCCTAACCAAAGGCGAGTTGGGCATCTGCAAGGCCCTTCTGAAATATGGAGCACCCTCATGTGAGGTGTGGTAGTTTATGGCGGATGAATTCGGCAAGATTCCTACCACTCGGGGTATATACAACTGCCGCCAGAAGTGTTGACCGGCTACGTTGAGTAGTTGAAGCATAGTTTGGTTTTATCATGGCAGATGATATGCCTTCGGTCCAGGCAAAACTTCGGAAAACCGGACGCGTGCTTGTGTGCCGGTCAGAGGAAGGTCACTGTAGCCACATATGCTTCTCCCGATGGCAGCAGATAATATTGTTCCGACGTTTTCCAGATGTAGTGAATGTAGACGGAACGCATGAAACAACTCGCCTTGGATGAGTTTTCTAAAGCATCTAATATTCGGCATGTAGATATAAGCTGTACATCTTCTTAGTAACGGACGGCATGGCAACCGGTCGAATACTCAGATGCTCCCAGACCTTTATGACATCTGTGCCGGAGAATGCGCATATCCTTTCTACCAGGTGATGTAGCTCCTCTGAATACACCTGCTTTCTGTAATTCGAGATCAGTCCGATCCGAGCAGTAAAAACTATTCAGCGTTGACTTCTTCTTAGCCTGCTTCCCAATCCACCAACGATGGCTGTCGGATTACAACCTACCGGGGAAAGATGTTACCCTTACGCTTGTTCCCAAACCACCTCCGACCGCTTTTGAGGGCCTTCGTAAACAACTTAACCGAGTAATGGATAAGCTTCAGGGGCTGGAACACAGGAGGGCCACAGCGAGTGATTGTTCAGGGGCAAATCCTGCAAGGGATCGCCTGTCATATCTCGCCGACTGGTGAACTTTGCCCGTTGTGTGGTAGAGCTCTTCAGGCTTGCCCCAAAGGTTAGTCCACATGGAAATAAATTACTCTTGGTTTTTAGCTCCGGGACCATCCAGGAAACGTAAATGCTTGCTTGCTACCCGGTCCGCAAAGAGGGAGTATAATGATGGTGACCTGGACCGAAGCACAGAACCCTAGCACAGTGTGTCCCGGAAGTCTGTGGGTGTCCGTGTTTTCCGGTCAAAAAAGGAACCACTTGACAGCCGTGGGTAAATGTATGACACCTACGACTGACGCCGCAGAGAACCAGCTAGATGAAAGAGACGATTATTTCATGTGACCCATCAGCTCCATAAACTTGGCCTCCCAATGTGCTTCTTGAGAGGTGCAGTAACCAGGCGTGCAAAGTAGCCGTTGAAGGTGGCATTGTGGGAACAGGCATCTACGACAGCATAACCTCTGAGGTGCATTTCGGGGTAACTATTCCTACTAGTTTGTTGGCTGCCCGCCTTACGGTGATTTTTCGGTAACCTAAATTATATCCTCCTCTCATTCCATGACGTCAACGGCCAAATTAACACTCTTCATGAAGAAGATCATGCGCCTCCCGGAAGGACATGATCAATATATCTCAACACTTCATGACGTTCGTTTTGAACTTTTTCTCTGGTGCAGATGGATGGGTGCGCTCCGACATCATGTACCCCCAGCCACATGTCGGTCGTTTGCGTCAGTAAGGTTCGTTCAGCTATCCGGTATGGTCGACTTCGCTGCATGTTGCTAATTGATAAACCTCGAGGTCTTCCCTCCGAATTACGCAAGCTATAATGGAAAAGTTTACTTTTTGCCAGCGAACATGTACGACTTTTAGCAACTAATGAACGTGGACTACGCAATTTTAACTGGCAACGGGAATCATCGACCAAAATTTGTTTGCACGAATGCAACTAAGCATATTTTTTATCTCCAAAAGCCATTCAGATGCTAAAATGTTCAGGAAATTTTTTTGCGTGGAAATCTGTCTGAAAGTCTCGTCCGTTGTGAGTGACGCAATTTTACTGGCAACGGGAATCATCGACCAAAATTTGTTTGCACGAATGCAACTAAGCATATTTTTTTATCTCCAAAAGCCATTCAGATGCTAAAATGTTCAGGAAATTTTTTTGCGTGGAAATCTGTCTGAAAGTCTCGTCCGTTGTGAGTGAGTCAACGTTTTCCACAATTCGCGATTTTTTATTACATCGGGCAACGTATTCACAGTCGGTGGAGTTTATTGAACTTGAGGATTCGCTCACTTGAAAAACTCACCATAGTAGATGATTTTCAACAATATAGGAACATATACATCATACATAGGTATTCTAAACTATGAAGTTGCGAGCCTGAAAATGTCGTAGATTTCGAGAAATCATTCCCATTGTGCGAATACTGAGCGGCGATAGGTTCTTTGAAGGACAATGTTTTTGAATCCATTGGTCAGTTCATGATTCTTGTTGTGTTGTATTCAGCGTCCTCTAAGTTGATTGGCCATCCCAATGCTTTCAATTTTTGGTAATTTATCCCCAACTTTGATTTATCCTATTCGCATTTACATCGCGTTCTCATGCTAGCCTCTGGGGATTGATTGGTTGGTTGCAAAGCCCTATTTTTTCTGTTTTAACAAACCATGTCCTTGCGTCTGCCTGTTTGTTTGTTACTTTAGTATATTAGTTTGGGCACCTTCAATCAAAGTGATGTGCCTTATCGCTTCTCTTGTCGGTTCTTCGTCTGGCTGCTTTCGCAGCTCAGATCTCCCTAGTTCTTGCGGCCTCTTGCTCTCAGCGGTTAATAACTGGGATCAATTTTGATACTCTTCTTGACAGCTGATCCAATGGAGTGCATGCTTATTTCTCCGTTCTTGCTTGAGCCAGTATGCGAACGCCCCTCGAGTCGAACTATTGTCCTTGATTTTTGTGTATGAACGGACACGAGGGGAAATCGATCGTGTCCATTAGTGGTGAACTTTTGTCTATGTATTCCGGTACGGAGCCTCCGTCCCGTTTGTCCTATATGCCGTTTACCACAGTCCTTGTATTGGATCCTGCGTATCACATTTTTCCTCACCACTGTATCTAATATTCATCTCGGTCTTGATAGTGCCCCCCGCAGTGTTTGGAAGTTTTGAACCACCGTCGTATTTTGCTTTCGTAAGGACCTTGCCATCATCTTGGTGATGACCTCGGCACTTGAGAGTGTGCCCCATTTTCTTCCATTTAGACCGTTGCATTCATCGTCTTTGGTGTCCCGAGCGATCTGTAGAGGAAATTCCTTGGATGTGTTTCTCTGGAACAATTCATGCAGGAGTTGTTCTTCAATCTTGAGTTCTCTTGTGCTGCAGCGTGTTTCGATCCGCTAGAAAAGTGTATGAATACATCATTATTCGCTTCTATTTGGATGGTTGCTGTGGCTACTCAGAATTGGCTCCGTGGACGTTGCCCTTCTGCGGACCTCAGTTTGTAGCTACCCGTTCGGCAGC